ATGCTGCAAATCAGATTCTTTTACAGCTTTTAATTAAAAAAAAAAAAACATCAGGCTGAGATGGAAAAGAAGAACAAAAAGGAGGAACTAAAACACATTAAAAGTATTTGTACAAGGTGGAATGAAGAGCTCTTTGAATATAGAGGTTTTATACAAGATAATGATAGGTAAATTTAAGCTTTTGTAGATGAACATATACTGTGATATATTCATAAATTAAATGGATTCATTCATTTTTCTGGACTGGATAATATCGTGCATTGAATAATTAAAAATGTAACGTGAGACGTTAATTTTCTTTGACCCATCAAAATAAACTGTGGTCATTTATTTTCAGAATCAAAATTTAACATCAAAACATTTACATTAATTTGGCAAAATATGAAAATAACAACAGGTTAATTAATCAGTTTACAATTAGAAAACCATACGGCGATGGTTTCCCTTGCTTCCAGCTGTACAACAGACATTTCTAAAATTATCTGGAATGATTTCTAGCAGATAGAAGAGTTTAAAGATGGAAAGATGAAGTTTAGAGGGAGGGAGATGGTGTGTGTGAGTGAAAGTGTTGAACAGAACGGCACCCTCCATTCGAACCCAGCTTTCCTCGGTACGCTCGGTAGTAAACTCGACTCTGACGATGAATCAGCGGATACGGAGCTCCAGTTAACGCTACCGGTCCAGCGTCTCCCAGAACTGAACTCGACTGCACTCGACTGGAGCTGCACTCTGCAAACGACTGGTTTGAACTAGGAAGTGCCGACATTTAAAGAGTTCTATTTCCGGTTCATTTGGGAGGTTCCTGATTGGTCAAATCGACCAGACAGGGGTGTGTTTTTGTGACGTAAGAGGTCACTAGAAGTCAGAAAAACAGAAAATGTTTTGGAACAGATTGAAAATGTTTTAGAGACAGACGGGAGAAATATTTGGACGAGTTGGGTGAAAACAGGTGCCAGCTTCTCTATATTACGTCTGAGAGGATTTAAAAACATGACAGTTCGTTCCAACAACTTGTTTTCGACCTTTGACCAACTTCACAATGTTCTCATTTCAGACAGAAGATCAGAAAATGCATGAATTACTCCGTAACACATTCCAATTTGATTTCTACTTTGAATGAGGATTAAAAATCACTAATACTGTTTCACAGTTGATTTAAATGAGTAGTTCACTTCAACATTTAAAAATGGTTTGAACTAAACACAATTTGATTATCAAAACATTTGTAAAATAGTAATGATAATAGAAAAAGAGAGTGTTCTTTCAATTGATCAGTGCAGGACACTTAGGAAGTCTCTGGATGAACTTAATCTTGTGTTTCTGGACTCAAATCAATGAAATAGAGTTCTTGTCCCAGGAAGGCCCTCAAGGCCAGGACTTTGACCTGAGGCCTAATTCACTACACTTTTAAAGAAGGCGTGTGAATAACCTTTGAAGAGAGTTAAACATTTCAGTTTAAATCTAGTCTAATTTGCTCATCATACTGCTAAATCTAAAAGATTTAAACACAAAGAGGCTCTGTCTTTGACCTTTTTCGTCCCCCCTCACCATTTTTTCAAGAATAGGAATGTGTTAATACCTCCCTAATGAGATTTATTTTTCTCTTAATCACAGTTTTATATGTAAAGGTGAGGGTAAAACTTCTGCCAGCTCCTGAATAATATGGTAACCTTAGCTTTGAAAATAAAAATTTAATATTTTATTTTCTGTAAGTCTCTTATTTTAATATTTGCCTCTGTGTCAGTTTCACACAAGCACTTGTCTGACTACTCTTGTGAACTTCTCATAAGTAGAAAAAAAAAAGATATAATTCAATTCAATTCAGTTTATTTATATAGCACCAAGTCACAACAGAAGTCATTTCAGAGCAGATATAAAGGAACATTATAGCACATGTGAACATGTACAAAAGTTTCTGGTTTATAACAGAATCTTTACCATATAGATGAAAAGTACAGAGCATGACATTAGTGTTTGATCCTATTGAGATGGTAAAGATAAAATATTTCATTCCATGTCAATGTTTTTGCTGTCAGTTTATAATTAAGAGACGACTTAAACTCTATTCTGCAGGCATACTTCCTTTGTTTTTTCAGTACAAGCTCAGATTTTCCTGCCTGGCAGAGCAAAATTTTGTCAGTTTTATGTCTAAAGGTTTAGATTTACATGACCACGTTGTTAAATTTGGACCCTAGTTTTTTGTTTTTGTTTGTTTGTTTGTTTGTTTGTTTGTTTTCTTCCTGGAATCAAAAATAAATACAGCTTGTGTTGATTTAAAGATCTAGAAATACATCTTAAGATACCAGATTAGTAACTTGTGATGATTTTTATATTATCAGATAATTTAGCAGTCTTTTTTTATTTATAAAAAGCAATATAATGTAGACTGCGTTGTTGGATTAGATTAACGTTTCTGGTGGGAAAGGAACTTTTTAGTTGTCTCTGCACTGCCACCACGTGGCTGATAAGAAGCGTGGTACAGACAAAGTAATGTCTCGAGTCAAATAAATACTGAATTTAAATACTCTGTGTGTAATCTGAACTATAAGCAGGTATGGTATTTTTGGCTGTGGAGTTAAAAACGTCAACATATCACATAAAAATCACTGAAATGCCACATTGTTTGGTGATATGTGCTGCTGATTATCCATGCTGCTGATCTCATGCTGCTGATTATTTTATGCTGCTGTATTCATTTGTACTCATCTGTTCACACAGACTCATGTTCGTGCTGCTGTTATTCGCCATATTGTTTTTGTACTGGGCAGCACGGTGGCGCAACTGGTAGAGCTGCTGCCTCTCAGCGAGCAGGTTCCTGGTTCAAATCCCGATCCAGGGGCCTTTCTGGGTGGAGTTTGCATGTTCTCTCTGTGCATACGTGGGTTTTCTCCAGGCACTCCAGTTTCCTCCCACAGACCAAAAACATGCATGTTAGGCTGATTGGTAACTCTAAATTGTCCCTAGGTGTGAGTGAGAGAGTGAATGTTTGTTTGTCTCGTTTGTCTCTATGTGTCCCTGTGATGGACTTGCGACCTGTTCAGGGTGTACCCCGCCCCTCGCACAGTGATTGCTGGACATGGGCACCAGCGTCCTCCTTGACCCAAAATGGAAGAAGCGGGTAAAAGATAATGGATGGATGTTTTTTTACTATTAGTGTTTAGCTTGTTTCTTAGTTTATATCTTAGATCCTTATTACAGTTTCTTTTACAATTTATATTTTTGCTATCGTTGGCTGTAACTGGGACCCTGTGTACACAATTTGTTCCACCTCATGTATCACGTGTAGGAGCAGGGGATGAATGAATATATTTGTGAATGGGTATTAGGTCACGTGGGTAATCAGCGGTCTATATAGCAGGAACCTTTCTTTGTGAGTTGAGGTGTTCCACCTGGAAGGGGGGAACAGTTTTTGACCACTGAACGCTAAAGAAACTAGATGCTGTCAACATATGTAAGTGTTGTGGAAATATGTATTGGCTTCAAATGCACAGAGAGGAAATGTAAAGTATAAATGGATGACCTGCACAATGAGTAAGGGAGGCTCTGACTTTAATTCATCTGACAAGGTAAAAATCAGTGTGTCAACACTACCCCAGTGTATCACCTCAGTGGCTTAAATCATTGGCTTGGCCTCTACAACATGTGATGCGAGTTGCAATAAAGAACCTTGAATGAAGGGTGAGCATGTGTTTTGTGTCAGACTGTGCTCTGGAGGGCGCTAGAGCATTTTAAAACTCATCCCTCTTTCAGTCCAGAGATCAGACATCAGACCTACAGTATGAACATGGCTTTTTGACGTAATGTAGCTCAGCCTTTATCCTCTTCCATAATATATGCCAGCCTTAACCAGCTTGCTGTAGAGCTTATTTATCCCTTATGCCACTTTTTTCATTGTGTAGGGATGCTACTTAAAATAATATATGAATCCCTTGTAAACAATTTAATTATATTAGTGACATTAGATATTAGTGCATGTGAGGGAAAAAGTAGTAACTTCATTTTACTCTAACTTAAACTCTACCAAACAAATCCCTTCTACTGTTACTACAGCTAAAGCATTGATACTCAATGGTTCAAACAGCATTTCCTAAACATGTAAGTGTGGTAATATATTCCTCCTGGTTTGCACACTTCTAACAGGTTAGCAGGTACCTGGAAATGTATAATTAAAATTTTAAAAACAAAATATCAATAAGCAAAAAATCTCTACAAGTTAGTACTTTATTATTAGATGCACAGGAGTAAGAGGTCTAATTGTATGGTCAGTAGTAAATGGGGACCGTGATGGTGTAGAGGCAGGGCAGCCAACTCGGGACCCAAAAGTTTTAGGTTCAATCCCCAGTCATTGCACATCTCTTGGTGTCTCTGAGAAGCACATCTCATCCCCAAATGCCCCCCAGGCGCCAATAGCTGTCCACCGCACCACCTGATGGTGGATGGGTTAAATGCTGAGAGCCAGTTTTACCATTGTATGGGAACATACAATGATGACAACACATAACATGTCCATCCATCCATCCATTATCTTTACCCGTTTATTCCATTTTGGGTCACGGGGGTCGCTGGTGCCCATGTCCAGCAATCACTGTGCGAGAAGCGGGGTACACCCTGGACAGGTCGCAAGTCCATCACAGGGACACATAGAGACAAACGAGACAAACAACCATTCACTCTCTCACTCACACCTAGTGACAATTTAGAGTTACCAATCAGCCTAACATGCATGTTTTTGATCTGTGGGAGGAAACCGGAGTACCCGGAGAAAACCCACGCATGCACGGAGAGAACATGCAAACTCCACCCAGAAAAGCCCCTGGACCGGGGTTTGACATAACATGTTATTATTATTATTATTATTATTAAATGAAAGGACAATGCTGTGCATGAGTTGTTCCTTTTTGTTGTTTTTGTGTATTCGGCCATGTCTGAAAGCACACACTTAACGCCGCCTTCCTCCTGAACATAGGACGTTAAAACTGAGCCTCTTCTTTCTCCTTCAGAACTACAGCTGTCCACTGGTCATGGTGCTTGCTGTCCCGGTGGCGGTGCGCTTCCTGCAGAGGGGGAACAGGGAACTCAGCAGGAACATGTCCAGTTATCTCTCCCTGGTTGCTATAGCCAAGGCTGACCTGCTGGCTGAACACACAGAGGCCATAACGCTCAGTGTGATGGGAGGTAAGAGTGCATGCACCAAAAACATTGTTTCCTCACTTTATGTTTCATTGTGCACTGTTTTAGTAAAATAATTAAAAACTGTGGATATATTCAAAAACAGCCATTGTGGGCATAATTGTGCTTATTTAGTTGTGGACAGTTGACGTGTGCAAGGGTGCACATAACTTTTTTAGTGGGCTCCTCAGGTGAGTACCAGGAGATGATGTTTGGTACTCACCCCATAAGCAGCTTTGTTTTAATAAGTGCCACCTTCCTCGCTGTCCTCCTCAGTGTCATTCCCACTATCCTCTGCTTCAGCTTCCTGCATGGTAGATGCTGCAGATGTACTGTACCACCTTGTCCTTGGTATTTTTTTCTCTTTCTTTATTTTGTAAAAACCGCTATTTTGTGAAATGTAGTTATGACACGGGCAGCACGGTGGCACAACTGGTAGAGCTGCTGCCTCTCAACGAGCAGGTCCCTGGTTCAAATCCTGGTCTGTGGGCCTTTCTGGGTGGAGTTTGCATGTTCTCTTCGTGCATGCGTGGGTTTTCTCCGGGTACTACGGTTTCCTCCCACAGATCAAAAACATGCATGTTAGGCTGATTGGTAACTCTAAATTGTCCCTAGGTGTGAGTGAGAGAGTGAATGGTTGTTTGTCTCGTTTGTCTCTATGTGGCCCTGTGATGGACTTGCGACCCATCCAGGGTGTACCCCGCCCCTCGCACAGTGATTGCTGGACATGGGCACCGGCAACCTTCGTGACCCAAAGTGGAAGAAGCGGGTAAGAGATAATGGATGGATGGATAGTTATGACACCCTTCACGAGTTTGTATTTGTATCTTATTGCATTGTTCTGTTTTGCGTTGTTAAAGAAGTTCTAGGAAAAAAAAAACTGATGGGCTGCATATATCTGCAGGTAAGGGGTGTTTACCTTCGAGATAAATTGAGGTTGTCGATTGGTCAGTTGCTGACACGCCTACTGGATTGATTGACAGGTTGCATGCGGGTCCGACTCGTGCAAAAAATAAAAAATGCTGCCGCCGCCCACTTGCCCTGGGTGGAGGCGGGGCCACGCAGGTGCAGCGGTAGCAGTGTTCTGAGTTTTAATGTTGTTAATAAAAAGTTCTTTAAAAAACCAAACCGGGAGCGCCAGCCCTGCAGCCCACACATCACACTGGCCCACCAGGAGATATCCTGATCCCACGGTCAAGAACGCAAAGGTGTTTGCTAACACGGGTGATGCTACGCATTCCTGATTTTTGTTGCGCATGCGTGCTTGCGTACCAGTTATGTGCATCCCTGTTTATGTGTCTGCAGGTTCTGGAAGCAGATTGGCGTCTCAGTGTTCTTTCTTTTGCTCAGAGTTTTCCTACAGGCTGCCAGCATGTCCAAATCCAACATGTCAGATAGAAGTCACCTTCCTCTTAAAGTATGCTGGACTTGCTTTGTTGAAAGTACGGTACAATACCCCCATTTAGAAGCTTTTTGGGGTTTCCTTTGATTTGATAAAATTTGATAAAAGATCATTTTTAGTTTGCTTCATTCACTAAAAACGTATTTCTTTTACATACATGTTCTGCACAGACTCTGTTTTCTGGAACTGATGTTGCATGTGTAGTGAACTAGACCTCCGACCTCAATCTGTCTCTGAGGACCTTCAGGGGACAGGAACTGTTATTTCATTGATTTGAATCCAGAAATACAAATTATCTCATCAAGAGACTATTTAATTGTATCCTGAATTAATCAATTGAAAGAACACTCTTCTTTTTACATTATCAGTACTATTTTAAGATATCTTGATAATCAAAAGTGTGTTTAGTTCATACCATTTCTAATGTTGAAAGTAAACCACTCTTAAACCAACTGTGAAACAGTATTAATGATTTTTAAACCTCATTAGATTTTGTTCATACAGTTAAATGTCTATTTACGAAGTAAGGGTGCATTTAGTCTTCTGTCTGAATGAGGAGTAGTGGATGTCGGTCGAAAGTCAGAGACAAGTTATGAGAACGAAGTGCCTTGTTTTTAAAACTCTCAGACAGTAAATAAGAACTAGCTGGCACCTGCTTTGTCTCACTGCTTCATAATATTTTTCTGTCTGTACTAACCATTCTTAAAACATTCCTGCTGTCTCCTGACTCCTAGTGACCCTCTGACATTACTAAAACTACACCCCTGCTGGTTGTCTCAACCAATCAGGAAGTACCACGTAACAGGAAGTGGATACCCTTTAAAAGGCAACACTTCTTGGAACTATTCAGGTCTTAGTCTTCGTCGTCTTCGGGGTCTTCGCAGTCTTTTCCAGTCTTCAGAGGCTTTCCAGTCTTGCTGGAACTTTCAGTCAAAGATGAGACTCAACTAAGTAGCGGATGGATTTGACCATGTGCCAAGGGTCTCTCCATTCCAGCGTAGTCACGGCCTGCCTCGGCTGTGACTCAACCAGAGCATTAAAAGCTCCACTTCTAAGGAAGCTTATTCTGTTGAACTGAGTACTTCGTCACAATTTCTGACAACCCCAGCTACTCTAACAGGAGACGCTGAAAAGGGAGCGTGCCAATGGACCTCTGTTCTGGAGTGGAGGTATCCACCATCTCAGGTAACAAGCTGTTGACGCCCTGAAGTGTACTGGAGGGCTGAGCTGGATGTCGGAGGAAGGGTGCAATTTTCTGGTTCAACACATAACTTTCATCCAACTAAACTTCCTCCTTAAATCTATTCCTTCTCTTTAAACTTCCCTATTTGCCAGTAAATCAAGCTAGATGCCTTCAGAGATGAATCAGTCTCAATCAGTAATGTTCTGTTTTCTTTTCTAGTAAATCGTGCCAAGTTTATTAATCAGAAACAGATCAGCAAATCAATGTGTACATGTTTTGATGTTAAATTTTGATTCTGTTAAATAAATGACCGTATTTATTCTGATGGATCAAAGATAAAATGGCGTGTCATGTCACTGATTAAACAATCCACTCTCATTGTTATCTTGGTCACTTGGAAGAAATTTAACTCGAAAAAGAAAAGAATCCGTTGTAATTGAACGATTAATATTCTTTGTGCTTGAACTAGCTTTAAGAATAATTAATTAGTAGTGAAGCTAACAGCTACATCACTACACATGATCTTAAGATAAAAATCCAACGTTTGAAAACAAGCTAAAAACAGATGATAAAAAAGCCAAAGTTTGATTACATTGAGGGCCTGGGATGGACTGAGACCTGTCCAGGGTGTCCCCCGCCATTCGCACAGTTAGTTACTGCTGGATATGGGCACCAGTGACCCCTGCAACCCAAAAAGGAAGAATGATAATGGATGGATGGAGCTTAGGAGAGTTATTGTACCATGGCAGTTTGTGTCACTGGAGATCTTAAATGTGATTGAATGTTACAACATAGTTAAAGCATAAAGGTTTAAATATCACATAAATAAAATCTGCATTTTACACACACAGTGGTGCTTGAAAGTTTGCGAACTCTTAGTAATGTTCTATATTTCTGCATAAATATGACCTAAAGCATCATCAGATTTTCACACAAGTCCTAAAAGTAGATAAAGAGAACCTAGTTAAACAAATGAGATAAAAATATTATACTTGTTCATTTATTTATTGAGGAAAATGATCCAGTATTACATATTTGTGAGTAAAAGTATGTGAACCTTTAGGATTATCAGTTAATTTGAAGGTGAAATTAGAGTCAGGTGTTTTCAATCAATGGATGATGATCAGGTGTGAGTGGACACCCTGGTTGATTTAAAGAACAGGATCTATCAAAGTCTGATCTTCACAACATGTTTGTGGAAGTGGATCATATCAGGAGCAAAGGAGATTTCTGAGGAGCTCAGAAAAAGAATTGTTGATGCTCATCAGGCTGGAAAAGGTTTTAAAACATCTGTAAAGAGTTTGGACTCCACCAATCCACAGTCACACAGATTGCGGGCAAATGGAGGAAATTCAAGACCATTGTTACCCTCCCCAGTGGTGGACCAACAAAGATCACTCCAAGAACAAGGTGTGTAGTCAGCGAGGTCACAAAGGACCCCAGGGTAACTTCTAACAACTGAAGGTCTCTCTTACATTGACTGATGTTAATGTCCATGAGTCCACCATCATTAGAACACTGAACAACAATGGTTCATGGCAGGGTTGAAGGGGTCACTGCTCCCCAAAAAGAACATGGCTGCTCACCTGCAGTTAGTTAAAGATCACGTGGACAAGCCAGAAGATTGTTGGAAGAATGTTTTATGGACAAAATGAGACCAAAATAAAACTTTTTGGTTTAAATGGAAAGTGCTGTGTTTGGAGAAAGAAGAACACCACATGAAAACATTATTCCATCTGTGAAACATGGTGGTGGTAGCATCATGGTTTGGGCCTGTTTTGCTGCATCTGGGGCAGGACAGCTTGTCATCATTGATGGAACAATGGATTCTGAATTATATCAGAGAAATCTGAAGGAGAACATCAGAACATCTGTCCATGAACGGAATCTGAATAGAGGGTGGGTCATGTAGCAACACAATGACCCTCAGCACACAAGTCATTCTACCGAAGAATGGTTCAAGAAGAATAAAGTTCATGTTTTGGAATGGCCAAATCAAAGTCCTGACCTTAATCCAGTACAGATGTGGAAGGACCTGAAGCAGCAGTTAATGTGAAGAAACCACCAACATCCAGAGTTGAAGCTGTTCTGTGCAGAGGATTGAGCTAAAACTCCTCCAAGCCTGTGAGCAGGACTGATCAACAGTTACCAGAAACTTTAGTTGCTGTTATTGCTGCACAGGGGGGTCACACCAGATATTGAAAGCAAAGGTTTTCATCCTATTGCTACTCACAAATATGTAATATTGGATCATTTTCCTCAATAAATGACCAAGTATAATATGTTTGTCTCATTTGTTTAACTGTGTTCTCTTTATCCACTTTTAGGATTTATGTGAAAATCTGATGATGTTTTAGGTCATATTTATGCAGAAATATAGAAAAATTATAAAGGCTTCACAAACTTTCAAGCAACACTATA